TTTTTTTTTTTTTTTTTGCATTAATTAGATTTTTTTTCTGTTAATGAAATTATGATATTTTAGGACGTGTTTATGAGTGTGGTATGATTCCTCATTATTATTAACCCAGTGTTCTGGTTTTGATACTTAATGGCAGTTTTCACCAATACAGATATAATGGACTAAGTACTCTAGATACATCAGACTTACTTTTAAAAACAATTATAATAAACTTATTACTACTTTCCTTAAATTCAGTTTGAGGGATTTTACGGAATACAATTTTTCATGTCCGTGTTTCTGAAACCCTCCAAGTTATAGACTCTCCTTTGTAGGAGGTGTCTTATTTTCTTTCAGTGGCAAATGAAGCTCCTCAGACAATAAGCAGTGCTACCATCTTTGAACATCATGATGATGGTTCATTAGTTCATTTCAGACCCAAGACTTTTGGCCTCCTGCTTTCATACCTTTTGCTGAGCCTGCTTTGTCTTTGAAAATCTATGACCAGTGTTTTACAAACTGTCTTTCTGCTGGTTCTTCTATCCTGATAAAGATCAGGTAATATCAACCTTTGTCCTTTAATAATAGATCATTCTGCGGTCCAACTGCTTTGACCACCAATGTGGGATATGGGTACCATAACCTCTTAAATCAAACCCAAGTTGTGGAACCTCGGCTGTTTTGTTGGGGCTGGACCATCATACTTGTAATATATTCCACCCTTTTCAATTTTCTGTAGTTCTGGGTGAAGAGCACACCTGTTCTGGATGTTGTGCAGTGTTCTCCATTTTGATACCATTTCTCATGGTACATATTTGTTCTCTGCAGATGCTTTCTGTATGATCTCTGTCCTCACTGGCCCCGCCGCTTTCTCAATATGGGATTCTACCTGTTAGTGTGTGTTTTGGAAGTTATCATTTTCCTAAACTAAAAATACATTTCCAAACATGTTTACCTCCACTGACACTTTCCCTTCCTTCCTCCCCACTAAGAGCTGGTGTTAGTGACTGGAATGTGGTAAGTCTCGAAAAAGTGATTTTATTGTCTGCATACAGTGTTTATATACAGTACCTGCATAGAGGGTATGTTAGGGTTGGCGTAAAGTTTTGCAAATTAGTTATTGCCGAGGGCAGTCGAGTGGGGTATATAAAGTCTGGAGCGAGCGAACACAATGTTAGATGGCAAAGATGAAGATCGAGAAATTAGTGTCAGCAGAGGTAAGTATGTTTGGAAATACTTTTTTTTAAATGTAGGAAAATAATAACTTTCTCTTAGTGAAACCATTCTGGCTCTTTGACACTATATAAAACTTTTTAAGTGACTCTGCAATGCATCTTTAATCACACTCTCCATGTGCAACAATTTAGCACCATGCAGGAGATTCTTTTGATTTTACCTTTTGCTCTTCCATCTCCATTGGGCAAAGAGTATTCCCTACTTGAGATGAATGTGGTCTCCCAGTAAGTGATGACCCACTAGCTTCACCTCCCCTGTGGGTATCATTCCATGATTTTTCCCTTTCTGTGAGGAGGTGAGTGGCATTTCTGAAGTTAATATTTTCCTTACCTGAAAATGTATTTCAGAGGAATACTTACCGTAGAACTACCTACATTTAACATAAGTTGTCTGTATTTTATCATGCTTAAAAGTTTCGTACATACTTGTGGACATAAGTGAAAAATATTTTTGTGGTGGAAATTTGTCAAACATATCTTTAGTAGTAACAAAATATACACAAGTAGATTTGTTGGTGATGTTTTTGTATGTTACTGGATGTAATAGGTTTTGTTATATTGATGATAAAAAGGACTGTTCCTTCTTTATTACAACATTTACAATCATATTTACCTGCCCATTTAGATATTTTATTCCACTAAATAAGATTCTAGATTTAAAAAAAAAATGTGAATAGAAAATAGTATATTTGTGATGTGAGAAATAATTATTTAGGTAGATCAGATTTTTCCTTCTTCTGCGTATTGTTTAAGCAATTTCATATCAGAATGCAAGAATCCCCATAATGAAATCGGAGATTTTTTGGAAAAGGAGAACCATGTAACAAAGAAAGATTAAAAAAAGAAAGACAAAGAAAATTAGCCAGATAGTTACACTTATAATCCATAGAAAAAAAGTGAGTTATATAACTCAGAGTACAGATAAAAAAAACAAAAAAAAACGGGGAAACATCCAAGTGGTCACATCATTGCAATGATGTGGGGCAATATTACACTTGAAAGTGGAAGGAGAAAGAAACCATTGTGTAGTCTTCATTTATGTAAAATAGTTCTAGTACTAAGTTGACTTATGTCTTGTGTAAGGGGAAACCACATAAGTGAGAGTAAGTTTTGGTTGACTTTTGAGTGAAGAAAACAGTGGCAGGTACTAGATAATACCATTTGCCGTATATGTTTAAAACTACCTAAGTGTGTGTGTGTGTGTGTGGTATATATATATTATTTATTTTCAATTATTATTTGTATGAGAAGGGCAAAGTAAGATGACCTTTCTAAGGGAAAGCACACATTCAAGCTTTCACAAATTAATTTACGTATCCTAACATCAATACCTGGAGAGGCAGACACAGATGTAAGATGACACTAAAAAACAAAAAAACATCATAAGAACTGTAGGAATCAAATTATGCAACTTTTTGGGCCCAATCACAAAGTCAGCCTCTCAAATTTAATGATATCTCCTAGTAATAAAGAAACTCTGTGAAAGAAATTTAATACTTATTTTACACATTAATGACTTTCACTTTGATAGCAAATTTAAGAACCTGTCATGATTCCAAGTTTTCAAGAATTATAGGACCCAGTTGTAACCCTAACCTTCCCTCCCCCTTCCAGAAAAGTAAAAGTTGGTGCCTGTGTTGTAAACTAATGGCTTGCACCTTTTTAAAGTAAGGTTGAAACCAGTCTCTAAAATTGCACTTAAGTAACAGTAACTTGGGCACTGTACCACATCTTCCAAATGAAAGTGTGCTTGTTTGTTGATTATTACCTATTTGAGTACATTCTGATGGTGTGCCAGTGACAACTCATGAAAATTGGTCAGTTGCCCTCCACAAAGTTACAAATGTGCCATTTTTTTATTCATTCATCAAGCCAATTTAAGTAATAAATTATGTGGGGGAGTTGCAGTATTAGCCAACACAGTATCTTCATGACCCATGAAGTGATGACCCACAAAGGTTTCATTACATGAACAGTGATTGAGCAAAAAACATTGATAATTGAGGAATTTGTGTATTTTCTTCAGTCAACTGGAAATGTACACTAGACCTTGGTGGATAATGACACAATTGTGATGCCACTATTTGGACAGCTGATCAACATATTTGATTTAAGAATTGCACTCATTCACTGAAATCATTCCCTAAAATGGGAAACCATGGAGTTCTTTTAACATTAAAGATATTTTACATTGTATACTATAAAAGCTGTAACAGTAATTTTCCATCAGTCATTTAATACCTAAATGAATCTGAAGGATAATCAGTAACACTTTCAGCTTTATGT